TTAAAATAATTAATTTAACATGTCTCAGTGTTGATGATCAGATGTCACAATTTCCGCCGTAAAATAATGAACCGCCTGATATTCACTGAAAACGTGCGCTAACTTCGACACAACCGAAGAGCGTATCTTATTAAATTTAGCATCTTCTAAAAGTCAAGAGTCTAGATCTTCTTGGTGGACAAAAATGTCAGCCGAAAGGGCAATTTTCTTTATTTTGCCAAACTTCACGTTAAGTCTTTTTGAAAACTTCATTTAAAGCTGGAGTCAAAATAATTTCTAAGAGCGCCTTACGGACAACTTTCTATCTTTAAAAGCGGCAGTTGGGCAGATTATGTAAGATCTCCTCACGCATTTGATAACAACGTTCTTTCTCTAGGAAGCATGGTGGCCTAATGGTGGCAACGTGACACAATACTAGGGCTTAATCCACGATGCCATCCTATCCAGGGGGTGGAGGTCGGGGGCGGGGGGAAGTAGTAGCTATAACCGAGCCACTTCAGAAACTGTAGATAAGAGCAAAGAACTATGACTTAACTGGGCTCAAGAGGCTTTACTTTTCTAATTTCCGAACCAAGCCAATAAATGGTCACAAGACCAAATGCGACACCGGTTCCTTTATCGACAATATCCTCATAAACCACAATTAAAAAAAAAATTCTTTCACCCTAGGTTAGATTCGAAATTAATCTTCCAACTCTTCACAGATCAAGGCCAACCTTACTTTGCTTTTAGACTCAACCGCATTACGAATCCTATTCAGATAAAATATTTATCCTTGAAAAAAACGCTCAGCAAATCTTTTAACCAATTGATGCATAACTGAGCTGGCCCCAAGAATGAAAGGTGCACGCTCGCGTCAGTGGCGCGTCACTGGTAAATCTTATCGTAAAGAATATCAACTACCGTGGAATTACGTCAAGCGTAGTAAACTTAAAAAGAAATAATGACGTTTAAGGAACTTTTTTTTTATTATAAGCTAAAGCGATAGATAGCTTAAGATCTTATGCCAAGAAAAACACTAACTCTTTCTAACTTCTTTGTCCTATGATGCCACGGCAGGAAACCTAGCTAAATTATAAACAAATACATATAGCTCCCATCAAGCCAAAACTGTTTTGTAACACCATTTAAAAGGAGGAAAAAACCGCAACTTTTTTTCACGGCAGACAATTTTCTGAACCTTAAGGGTTTATGTTTAAATTTAACATACTGGAAAAAAAGTTCACCAATTCTGCCATAGGTTTCTTGATTTCGAAAGGCTGAACTAATATCAGAGTTGTCCTCCAGTTATGAAGATAAACCACGACAGCAGACGTTTAAACCGGAATACCATTCGACAAAAAAAAATTTGCATTTGAAAGGCAATACTCCTTTGCAATATTGTATTCCAAAGCTATTACTCAATCTCGACCAGCTTTATGAAGGCACCTTATCAACGTCGTAAATCAAAACCTCGATACATAGTGTCATTACAAAACCTATACAAGGCTAAATTTCTCTTTACTTGGCTGATATTAAAAATTAAGTGATTTGTTGCTTTCCCTGGAGGCTGAATTAAATTGGACTTTAAAAATTCCAACTGAGTTTTTAAATATGTATTGAGACTAGATAACATCTTTGGTCCTGTATGCTTTTTAAACTTTAAAATACTTGTAGTCCTTTTTAACATACCAAATATGTTGCTGAAGAGGGAATTTTATGGCGGGTTGTTTTGTGTGGAACAACTTACAGCTACCGCAAGTTTACGCCAAGATCTTGTCGAAATAAAAGATTATGTTAAGCAGGTGCGACAAACTCTACGAGTGCTAGAAATGAAAAACGTTTTTACTATCAGATATGGACGACAAACATTCGCGAACCACCATCTGACAGCGATTCCAAACACTTACCATGCATGTTGCCGAGGAAATTAATTAGAGAATTTATAATTTACAATTTCGACTTCCTCGACTCTTTCCTGATTCACTTTTACAGTCTTTTTTTTCATCGTGTTGATGTTAATTTAACGGCTTAGAATACATTTTTTTTCCTATGGTTTGTTTCATTTTGTATCGTCCCACTTTGACTTCAACTTTTACTTCCATCTGATAAAGAAAAACTGTCTACGAAAACGTACACCACTTAGATTCAGCTCTTACTCGATCGGAGCAGAATACGTTTGTTGCTCAGCTAAAGAAACTGGAACCTCTGTTCCTCACGGTAGTTACACCCCACACCTCGCCACTAACAACAGATCAGAACTGAAATTGGCCAAGAAAAGTATGAGATATGGGCGGAATAGACTGTCATAATCCTCAGTCAAAAGTTAATAGAACTTCCCATGTGTATTAAACGAACTGAACCAAGTGGATTGCATTTATGCGGTGTAAGATTCTAAATTAAGTAGTGACATTAAAGCGTTTGAGAAAGAAAGAACAGAAATTTCACTCACTTAAGATTGACGTTTACGTCGCCTTTCGCCGGCGAACTGACTTACCAGAAAAGATTACTCGCTACTTAATTGGAAGGTCGAAATTCTCGATCGGTGTCCCATTATTCGCATTTTCTGTAAGATGCAACTATCACTATGAGCACCTTGATTAGTCCACTACTGCTTTTCGACAGCTAAGTATATCAGTATCAATATATATGCAAATAGTTCCCTATACATGACCAGCTGTCAGTTGACATTAATCCTGTCAATAGCTAAGGAAACAGTCAGGTGCTATTAAAGCCGGGACACTGGACTATGATCGACGTATCCGGAGATTACCCTTAGGATCATTTTAACAACTCGAAAAGCTCTACTGTGCCAGAGAAGACATAACCGTCTTTGCTATCGCTGTTTTACAAAAAAAAAAAAACATACGTACAGAAGTTTAGACTGAAAAGAGGCTGTCCACTTAGAATACTGATAATCGTGGTATATTTCTGATTTCTTAAGCAAATGTGTTTTTCTCGATATCGAAAGTCACGATTGTTGGCTTATTATGAGCATTCAGTACGTTTGCAAGAAGATGTATCATGCTACCATATGGCATAACTTCAAACATCCATAACTCTTGACACTTGAGTTTGCAGACCGGTTGGTTTCAGAGAGAACTTTGCATACATGTTTTCCCCCTTTTTTATGGGCGAAGAGGGAAGATCAAAATAATGCAAATCGGGATCTCACGAGGAAATGGAAACGTCACAATCTACAATACTATACAACTTGTCCTTTGAACGCAAATAAAATAAATTCCAAGAAAAAAAGTCTTAATTTTGTGTTTTGTCGCGACAAAACAAAACTGGCTTTGTAAGTTTTTGTATTAATTATTAAGGCTCCCAATCTAACCACGATTTTTTTCTACTAAACCGCTATTGTGAGCTTATACAGGTGTTTTGAGAATAACTTGATGCCAAGGGAAATCTCGGAACTAACAAAATGACTTACACGATATGGTTATGTCATAGGTCTACGGCAAGTCTCATCGCGTTAATGCTTCAAAAATAGTCATACGTTACGAAATGCGCTACTAGAATTGTTACCTTAACTTGGGATTAAGATCCTGCTCGGAAGAGCGCTTCGTCTAAATCAACTGACTCCTCGATCACTTCCCTTAGATGGCACAATAGCTAATAAACGCAAGTTGGACATAATTAAGTATAGAAGTAGACTTTTCCGCATGGCAAGCGGATGTGATAAATAAACTGGCTTGAATTGACTGCGAAAATCAAATTAAAACGGCATAGTGGGAGACACACTTTGAAATGATGAGGCACTTCTGGAATATTGGTCATTTCAGGGTGCAATTTCCGAAATGTTTGTTGATGTTTATACACGTCACAGTCGTTTTATCTGCCTTTGGTGAGACCATTGGAAAGTTGTTGATAGGCATATTGCAATCAAATCCATAGCTAGTGTAAGCGAACTTCTTACAAGCTGCATGAAAAAGTCAATTGTTTAGATCTCGGTTCCTTAATTAATTGGAGCAAAATTGCATCGAAGAACAAAAGGCAGACTTAATATCTAGAACACATTTATGGAAATTTGTCAGCTTGATGAAATATCACATATCACGCTATCCGTGAATAATTTTTAATAAAAAAGTACTTTTTAAGGGAAACAACTGAAAAATGGATCGCGAAGACGCTCAATATGTACAGTCATTGATCGACATTAAACGAGTTCTCAGATTAAATTTGATTTTGCTAGTCACGTCTTCCATTGATACATATTCTGTGAGGCAGTTGAATGTCACTTTTTGTAAACGAACTTATATGAAACGAAGTTGACATCAAGACGAGGTCACTTTCAATTTTGAAAATGAAGCCCCGTCCACACTACGCATGAGGACTTTGAAAACGGAGGTTTCACTCTGAAAACGCATCAAATGTTTTCCGTTCACACTACGCAGGAGGAATTTGAAAACACAACAATAAAAAAATAAATAAATAAATAAAATGAATAATACGTCATTTTGGATTTGTTGTCGAGGAAAACTCAGGCAGGGAAAATCATGATTATCGCAACGTTATTGTTTTCGAAAAGTTTCGTTTTTAAAAGTTTTCCGTCAAAACTAAAACGCAAAGCCAGCGTTTTTATGCAAATTCCTCCGATTTGAAGGGTGTTTTCGAAAAGCTCCATTTCCGTGACGGATTAGTGTGGAGGAAGGCCTAACCGGAGAAACAGAACTTCATTTTCAAATTTCTCCGGTGTAGTGTGGACGGGGCCTGAATCATTGCCGTTGACTGGGATACAGGTAGACTCACGATCAGACAACCCTCAACATGAAGCTCATCCAGACCCAGTAGCTCAAAAGGTGAACAACTCTCCCCCGGAGAAATCACCATCCAGTGCATGGCGTTGTTTGTTTTGCCAACACTCAGTATCTTTCGAACGTGGGCAACTGAAGTTAAAATAAGCCTTCTGTATGCTTACCATTTCCCTTGTGACCCCACTATCGTAAACTACAAAAAGATACAAGATGTTTTAAGAATGTAAATTTCCCTGTCAAATATCTGCTTAGTAAATCAGTCACAGCTCCTCAAAGATTTCTCTTCATGTAGAAAAACACCAGTGAGGTGATATTTAGTGGAACCTGTGAATTGTTACCAGCGTGTGAATACACCACACGTAAAACAACGCCTTTTGACCTATAATTATTTATCAGCTCACTGATCAAGGTGTCTCAAGGAAATAATATCGTGTGGCTATAAGAAACTGTTCCTTGTTCTATCCATGAAACAGTATACGTTCTAACAATTGGTTAGCCACTTAATTCCCTCAGTTTACCGCCCTAATACGTAAGTATCACATAGTGCTTGTACTTTGATCATGGGTACATCAGTAGCAAGCAGTTTATTTAACTGATCTACAAAGACAGTGTACACTTGACTGAAACATAGTGTTTAAATTATACGTGAAGAATAACACAAACAACCGATGGTTTTAATGACTTTGGTTTAACTAAGTATGCAATTGTGTGATCAGCTCAATGCTCTTCTCTTATGTTTATTGCTTATAAAGATGTGATTCTTAAGAGTGACTTCTTGTAAATACTACGGATAGGTGTGCAAAAAGCAAAAATTGAATTCCCTCAAACTTTTTCACAAGAAAGCCCTCTGAAAACTATTTAAGAAAATACAACTTGTAGTTCATTTGGATTTATATTTTTTAAGTAAAGCGATTTTTTAATTTTCACCCTTGAAGAAGCCATCGAACCACTGAGAAATGTGCTTCGTATTTGCGACTCGTGTAAGAAAACTAAAACAAATATCAAATCTATTTCGATATTCCACAATTCAGTGACCCTTCCTTTACAAAGTACCGTTATTAGAATTGGAAAAGATTCAAACCTGAATTTTTTTAAAAAATTCAAATTTACCCTCCTAAACAGCATTATCA